GAAAAACCCATACCGTTTAGTCGGCTATAAAAGGGCCCGACATGAAAAATATGAAACAATTCAATTGAGAAACTAACAGCCTAATTTATAACAAAACAATTTACGAAAAACAAATCTGACAGACATGAACCAACGACAACCACTGAATTACAGTCTCTAAAATGGCTCACAGCACTGATGCTCTAGACCCGTACGAGCTTTAAGCATAGGGTTGGGGGTACCTGGTTTGTCACATAGTCCGGCTATTTTTTAGGGGAGGGTTGAGCGCTCATAAACATGTTTATATACATTGCCTCTAAAATGGCTCACAACACTGATGCTCTAGACCCGTACGAGCTTTAATCATAGGGTTGGGGGTACCTGGTTTGTCACATAGTCCGGCTATTGCCGGCTGATCAAACTAAGAGATTCATCACATTGGCAATGATACCAGCGGTACAAGAAGACAATGCCTTTAAAATGACCCACTTGACTTATGCCTAGACCCGTACGAGTTTTTTTTAGCTTGTAGGGATCCTGGTATCCCAGTATGTCACATAGTTCCACTTAAGTATTGCCGGCTGGCCAAACTAAGAGATACGTCACGTTGGCCATGATACAAGAGGCAGAAGAAGACATTGCGTTAAAAATGGCCCATAGTATTATTGGCTAGACCCGTACGAGATTTTCAGCTTGTGAGGGGGGGGGGTCCTGGTATCCTTGTATCCTGACATTATCTTACCTCCTATACATTTCTAGGAATATGATTGGTTAAAAGCAACCGCATGGAGACCGTGTATATTCCATATTGGGTTAGTAGGCGGAGCTTATTTCAATACACGATTAGTAGTGGTGTTACGTCCCTTTATAAAAACAACACGGTGTTGAGGAAAAATCTAAAAGGTTTCAACAGACGAAAAAATTGACGATGAACGATTGAAATAAATTCATAAAACACATTTAAAGCTGACAAGTTGTTATTTTTAGCATTTGCTTTTGTATAGACCAATGGAAGAAGGTTCTTAATACTAAGGTATTGAAGACTTGATCACTTTGACATATATGGGATCAGTAAATTGAATATGGGGATTCACTGACCCCATGTATATCATATTAGGCCACTAGCACACTATGCAACAAATATAATCCGACTTAGTACTAATGCCGGCTGGCAAAACTAAGAGTCGTCACGCTGGCCATGATACAAGAGGTAGAAGATGACGACATTGCATCTAAAATGGCCATAAGCATTTATGCCTAGACCCGTACGAGTTTGTCAGCAGGGTTTTTTTTTTTTTTTTTTTTTGGCGGGAGGGGGTGAGTGTCCTGATGTTCTGATGTCACATTGTCCGACTTAACTATTGCCAGCTAGCCAAACTAAGAGATTATTAACGTTAACCATGATACCAGGAGTAAAAGTATACATTGCCTCTATAATGGCTCACAGCACTGCTGCTCTAGACTCGTACGAGTTTAAAGCATAGGGTTGGGGTACCTGGTTTGTCACATAGTCCGACTATTGCCGCTGATCAAACTAAGAGATGTATCACGTTGGCAATAATTCCAGCGGTAAAAGAAACCAATGCCTCTAAAATGACCCATAGGACTTATGCCTTGACCCGTACGAGATTTTCAGCTTGTCTGGGTCCTGGTATCCTAGTATGTCACGTAGTTCGACTTAAGTATTGCCGGCTGGCCAAACTAAGAGATACGTCACGTTGGCCAAAATACAAGAGTTAGAAGAAAATATTGCCTCTAAAATGGCTCATGGCGTTTATCATGTCTAGACCCGTACGAGATTTTCAGCTTGTCGGGGTCCTGGTATCCTAGTATGTCACGTAGTTCGACTTAAGTATTGCCGGCTGGCCAAACTAAGAGATACGTCACGTTGGCCATAATACAAGAGGTAGAAGAAGACATTGCCTCTAAAATGGCCCATAGCATTTATGTCTAGACCCGTACGAGATTTTCAGCTTGTGTGGGTCCTGCTTTCCTTGTATGTCACATAGTCCGACTTAATTAATGCCGTTTGGCCAAATTAAGAGAGTCGTCACGTTGGCCATGATACAAGAGGTAGAAGAAGATGACATTGCCTCTAAAATGGCCATTATCATTTATGCCTAGACCCGTACGAGTTTGTCAACAGGTTTGTTTTGTTTTGTTTTGTTTTTTTTTTTGGGGGGGGGGGGGGAGGGGGGGGTCCTGATATTCTGATGCACATTGTCCAACTGAACTATTGCCGGCTGTACAAACCTATAGATTATTCATGTTGGTCATGGTACCAGATGTTACCGCTAACTGTCTCATGGTACATATGCCCTAAACCCGTACGACTTTGTCAGCATAGGGTGGGGGTAATTGGTTTTATCTTTAGTCTGAACTGTTAAATATGGTTGAAAAAAATTGTATATAATATGAGAACTGTATAATTCTGAAAGTGATTTAAAACCAGTAAAAAATCACGTCGGCATGTAAGAGAATTCAATAAGAACCATTTTGTAATCTTATATGGAATATGTCTTTACTAAGAAGCATCTGTAGATTGTATTTTTGGTTCAGCTTAATGTTTAAATATAAAAGGCTATTCATTGATGTTTCAATTGGCATTTTTTATAATTTACCGAAAAATATTTGTAAACTATCGGTTCACGTAAGCGTTCCCCTTTTTATAATTGATTAAGTAAACGCAGACCTCGAAGAAGACACCCGTTGAGTTAAGAATTTATTGTTATTTGTAGCAATATCAAATATAATCAGCAAACATTATTTTATCCTTATAATTGATATTTTCTTACAACACTTCATCGAACCCAGGTCATCTCATGAATATTATTGCTGGTTGCCCTAGTAAATAGTAAGCGGCCGACTGTTATCGCCGGTTAGCTTCACAATAGTCATTCATGTTTACCGGTTTCTAAGCAGGCTCATTTTTGGGGGCCGGCAAAGCCGTCGAAAATTGACTTTCGATTTCGTTCACAACAATTCTTTATTTTGGGTAGAATATTCATTTCATCCTGTTTTCGACATGATAGGTTATGTTCAGTTACCACTTCGTCTTGGTTAGCTTATTCATTTCATTACTTATTATCAGTTCTAACTAGTTAAAATTCCCCCAACCGAATTAAAAATAATTATACTAGTCAACAAAAGAAACGATACACAAGTTTGAACTAAAATTTATCATAAAATATAATAAATAGGAAAATCTTTTAAATTATCATATGAAAAACATTCATTTACAAAGCAAATGCATATGATTAAAAGAATATGACCAAATTAGAAAGTTACAAAATACCAAGTTATTGAACACAGGGGTCAAATTTATTTTGCAGAAAAGTCGGCACTTAATTTCGAAGATGATAATTAAGTATTCAAATATCTGCAAAGGCATTCAAAATTTTAAGCAGACCATGTTTAAGTTTAACAGTCTAAAGTTCTAACACCGATTTTTGAATTTTTGGGTGAAAAAACGATTTTTGAAATAACAAAAATTTTAGAATTTTTTTTCGCGTTTTTGCTTTGGTTTTGATGAGAAAAATAACACTCTGTAAAAATTAGACGAATAGGGCAGTTATTTACTTTGGTACAGTGTATTTAATTTGATGATATATGGAAAATACATTGCCTTGTATCGTTTCTTTTGTTGACTAGTATAGTAGTCCCTTCCTTTTTTTTCATCATATTTGTCAATGTTAAAGCTTAATGGGATATATTTATATTTTTTCTGTAACATTTGTATTGAATATCTCAGCTATTCTTGGTTTGCTGTTATTGTATTTTAATCTTTATCTTTGTAAAAATTTCTTACCGTGCAACAATGATGAGTTTTTAACAGCCTTCACTAGCTATACAGCCCTCGCACAGTCGGTTACCCCGTCCCCTTCCACCACCATTGTTGTTCGAAGTTCATGAATAATCATAATGAATCTCATGAAATGGGCATAAAATGAAACTGAAAATAGCTTAATTATATATAATTTCTGCAATTGTTTGTTACATGATCATTAATTGTAAATAGATAAATGCTTGACACCTTATGATACAAGTATTTGTTGTTTTACGCATCAAAGAAGACTTTATATTTCAATTATTCTAAAGTAATAATTTTTAAAGGGAGGTAAATCATATTTTTTAAAGATTTATAACAAAAACTTTATTCCACATTTCCGTGCTTTTTAGGGTTAAATTGTTAAAGAAAAATGCTGCTTCACATTGTGTTTTAAAAAAGAAATTCCTTATTTCTCCACTCTTGTAGTGTTCTATATTTTTTTTGATTTATTTCTCACCCTTTCAACGTGCAGCGCGGTGTGCTAATAAAATATACAAATGTCTTTTAATTCTTGAACAAAAAATGAAAATGTAAAATTCAGTGGAGGATTCAGATAAAGCGTGGTTGGTGTACGACACCCTCCCCTTTAAACGGAAAAATATCTTCTTTTTTTCGGCAGATAAAATCGTTCAACATTTTTTTGCAATCCTCCTATCAGCGATCGATATATGTATATGTTTTCGGCAATTACCCCCCCCCCCCCCCCCTCCCTTTTCCCCTTCAAAAATCCTGGATCCACCCCTTAAATTCATGCATGGTGTCTTCGATTGTTAAATTAAAAAACGTTATATATAGTATAAAAAAAAACATTTGAGTCTTATGCAACTTTTGGGTTTATAGACATATCTGAAAACTGGCTGCTAGCGGAGTGGCTGCTAGCGAGTGGCTGCTAGCTTGAGTCTAGCCGTTACAAAGATAATTGTTAACTAAATAAACAAACAAACAAAATAAAGACAAATAAATCTTTAAAAAATCGAAGAGAACAATAAAAAACAGGTAAAATAGGTAACATTGGTAAATATAGTAAAACATTCAACGTGTTCGAACATATCATGCACATCTCAATGAAGAATTGAAACGAAAGATGATAGAAATAAAAAAAAGGTAACAAACTCAACATTATATTTGCGTATTTGAGTTTGTGAAAAATATAACTGTATTTTACAGACACATAATGATCAAAATAACATACCTGTATGGGTGTTATAAATAGATAATTTCTTTGGAAAAAGGAAGGTAAATGGTCACATGATTTTATATTTTTAAGCCACGTGACACATTTCTTTAAATAAATTGAATAGTGATAATTGTTTCGTCAGAAAGTCACCAGTGCACAACTAAACAAACATACTGTGTAGAATAAAAATATTTGTGCTGACGAAATAAAGATTATAGAATTGTTGACCCAACAGGAACATATAATGACATTGTATATAAATAACATTTAGTTTCAGTGGATCTTCTGTTAGTCGGAACTAAGCTCACGACACTTTGCATACTAACAGACCTCATAATTTATCTAACAGAAGTGTGACTATTCCAACACAATATCAACATAATCCTATGAATCAGACTTTTGAATGTACAAGTATACCAACGATACTCCACCCACAACATAGTCTTCAAGCACAGACAGATAGTGTTCCACCTAATGCTCCAAGACCACAAGCAGACATTACATATCCTGCATATTACAATTCTCAACCTCCGTTTCCATCTCATCCATTTCCTGCCTCAACTGATAGTGAACGTACACATATTACTATCGAAATGTTATTTTCTTCAATAAACATCATGAACCATGCAAAGACTTGAACGGTTTGACTTTGAATTTACTGACCGCTTCTCTAAACTTGACAAAAAATTAGATGAACGTTTCGGAACAATAGACCGAAATTTAGCAGGGATGAGACAAGAAATAGATGAAATTAAGGAGACACAGAAAAATCATGAAGACATTTTAAAAACTGAAGAAAAACATCACCACGAAATTTCTGATAGAATGCGAATAATAGAAAACTATACACAAGATATAGAAATTGAATCAAACAATTTGAGGGATTAAGATTTCTTAAAACTTCAGACATGTCAGAGTCATTCTATGAAGTATAACCTTATTTTTGGCGGAATTCCACAGACCGATGATAATGATCACGAAGTTACAGAAGCTGTCATAAAAAACTTTATAGAAAAAGAACTTGAAATTCCTAGTGTAGATCTTATACAATTTCAAAACGTACACAGACTTAAGAAACGTCGTGACGGAAAGCCGCGCAATATCATCGCTAGATTTACAAATTTCCGTGATCACGAACGTGTACGCAAATCTGTACCTGATAAACTTAAATCAAAACCACAATTCTCAGTGAACCAACAATATCCAACCGAAATTAGCAATCGCCTTAAAGCGTTGATTCCTAAACTTAAAGAACTCCAGCGCCGAGGTACAAGAGCTTCCTTAATTTACGACCAAATAATGGTAAACGGACAACCTTACAATCCATCCCGCGAGGAGCCTCCTAACCCAATACACAACAATAGAGGAAATTACAGTTAGGACAACACATCAGACAATCAAGGACCTTTAAATAGAGGTCGGTCATTTAAAAACGTATCAACCGTATCATATTCGTTCACGTATACGCATCTGCATATATACCAAAAAATATTATGCGATCCCGAGCTTAAGACTATTATACGTTGAGCTTCATTTTTTTTTCTTTATCAAATTGGATCCTATTTGAAACAATCAAACACAAACTTTCAATATTTGCGATGATGGTGTTATGCAAAAAAGGGCGTCTATCAACGACTCCTGCATGCTCTCGGAAAGGAGCGAATGTGGGGCAGTGACACGAATCCTTTTATAAAACGCATAAATATATTCCAAGTTCTTACCTGAATAAACACAAAAAAATCAAATGTACTACTTATATACATGTAAGAGCTATGAATATTGTTTATTTGCGATTTTTTCAAATATGAGTAAAAGATACATAACTGTTTTCATATGTAATATAAATACTATAATTTTGAAAATAAAACATACTGAGCATCGCTCTATTTGTCATACAACAAGTTGGTTCTACGAGCGCACAAGTTAGCACATAAACAAACGATTTTACCGTATTCATTCCTATCATGCCTGTAAACTGTTCTAACCTTTGAATATTAAAAGTCGGATTACATGTTCCACAAAAATCGATATTTCCTAATTGTTTCACGTGAAAAATATATATCAAGCATATCTTTGAAATGTATGTCAATAATATTATACACATTGTATGTACACATCGTAAGTGCATGCGTTTCATATCCATCTTCCCATGTAGTAAACGACATTTAAATCATATGAAATTGAAGCAAACACATTCAAGACGTTTTCCAAAAATTAAGTCAGATACACAATTATATACTAGCATTAGAAATTAATCAGTTGCCCATCTGCATTATTGAAAGTATATATACAATTAAAGCTCGGGATAACATATTGTTTTTGGTATATCTGCAGATGCGTATACGTCAACGTATATGATACGGTAGATACGTCTCTAAATGACCGACCTCTAATTGGACAGTTGACAACTTAAAATTTACCTATCTGAACGTTTGTGGTATTACTTCAAAATTGTTGAATCCAGATTTTGCTACATTAATAAAGAGTTATGACATTCTTATATTTACTGAAACTAAAACTGATGAATTAGATGACTTGAAATTACCACATGAGTATACTTTTTATGCGAAATATAGAAAAAAATATAAAAAGAAGTCAGGTGGTATTATTGTTGTTTATAGAAAATATCTGTCGAAATTTTTGAAATTTATAAATTCTGAATCTGAATTTGTTCAGTGGGTTGAAATTTCAAAGAATATCTCAAACTTGAGAAAAAACATTTTACTAGGTTGTATTTATATACCCTCCGAATATACACGATATACTTCTGACGAGTCATTTTTGGAAATTGAAGATAATTTAATTAGATACTCCACTGATACAAAAAATATTGCACTTATTGGTGATTTTAACGCCAGAACTTCTACTGTTTCAGATTACATTATTCCTGACGAAAACTTGTTAGAAATTTTAGATGTCGATGATTTTTATGATAATGATGATCATAATATTTTTTCATACCTTCATCTTAAAGATAAAAATATCCCTCTTGAGAGGTATAGTGAAGATCATGGTAGAGTAAATAAATATGGTAATATGTTAATAGAACTTTGTAAAAGAAGTGGTATTTATATTTGTAATGGCAGAGTATTTGCTGATAAGAATATTGGTTGTACAACTTGTAAAGAATCAAGTTTAGTAGATTTTTTAATTATGTCTCCATGTATGTTTGATATTATATCAGATTTCGGTATTGTTGATTTCAATCCCATGTTTTCTGATGTCCACAATGGATTATATTTTTCATTTTCGTTTCCCTCGAGCAACTCATTAAACAATTCACATCATACAATAAACAGTAATAATACTTACATCAGGTGGGACAGTACAAAAACAGACGATTTTACTCAGGTGTTGACAAACGTTACAGGTAGCTCATTAGTCTAGGTTAGTCTATGGAAAGGTATATACTATGAAATTTAGAGCGAGGGGCTTGCCCCGAGCTCTTAATTTCATAGTATATACCTTTCCATAGACTATCCAATTTAGCACATATTTACAACTCGAGTAATCTTTTAATTGGTCTATTGATCATAGTTTATTTTGGCTGACTACTTGTATCAAAGGTGTTTGTAAAAAGGAGCTCATAAACGAAGTTTTGTAAATCTACTCACTAGTATTATTGTAAAATATGTGATTTCAAAAGGCCCTTCACTCCAGAATGAAAAGATGGTAGCTGCTGGTGTAAGTATGTATACTGATATAAAGCGGTGTTTTACTATACATGTTTTTCTTACATGGTAAGATGACAAAATAAATTGTCCAAAAGCAGGCAATAATTACATTTTTTAATTTCACAGTAAAACTAAAGCTATAACATAGAGATAGTTTGTCCCCATAGATATAGTCTAGCAGATAGGCATTAAAAAGCAACTACCAATAGATCAGAGATTATAGGTTTTGTGTTTTGTGTTTTTTTTATTATTTCAGAGTAAAAACTAAAAGATTTATCAGAATATGTTTATATATATATATATATAGGTGGCACATTATCTTCAGACATTATCACAGTTTTTCAATTCATGACATCGTCCTGAACATGCATGAAATATTTGCCACTGGACATTAAGCATCCAATAATCAATAAATCAATCAATTCATGACAAAATAGATCACCTTCCTTAAGAAAGTTTAAAAAATTATCACCAAGTTGCTTTAATTTTCCTGCACAAGGTTTCATAGTACACACTTTTCTGTGTACAAAGTAATTGCATGGATGATACATTATCATAATTTTAAGATATCGTTGTACTCTAATCAAGGTATAAAGAACCATATGTATTACACTTTATTTAAATGATAAAATTTGCAATTGTAAAAAACAATTTTTAGATCCAAAGATTTTAATAGCAGGATATTTAAAAATCAACGTGAAAACTAATTACAAACTATTTAATTTAATTTGAAACACAGCATTTTATTTCAAAATAGCCAGTGGCAATTTTTGTTTTAAATATCTTGATTACGATACAATGAAATCTTACACTTGTGGTCATTCATGCGTAGTTACTTAGTACACAGGAAAAGTATGTACTATGAAAATTAGAAGGCAAATATAAGCAATTTGATTGGACGAGAAGTTGTAAGTATGTGCTAACAACAGTTAAATGATGTTTTGAATAGTGTTGAAATTGACATAGTCACCATTGAAAGTGTGAACGGTCTAGTAAATGACCTAGGTCTTGTACTTTTAGACATGGCTGAGACTGTATTTTGGTAAATCAAAAAAGAAAATACACAACCCCGAACATGAAAACAAACCTTGGTTCAACAAAGAATGTCGAAGCAAACGAGATGCATTTCATTAAAGCAAGAATACATATAATAAAGTGAAATCAGGTGCAAACAAAACCATATTAAATCACACAGCTCGAGAATACAGAAAAATTCTACAAGTTAATTATCACAAATATAAAGACAAATGTTCAAATGAGATGAGAACATTGTCAAAGCATGACACAAAAGGAATTTGGAAAACACTAAAAAAAAAATGTTTAACACTAAAAAAGATTATCCTTCTATTGATATAAATACATTTTACGATTATTTCAAGGATTTACTGAATGCGGGAGAAGA